CAAGTGCTTCTTTACTACAGTGATGTGGAGGAAAGCCCACAAAGACTCTTTGCTTTAGGGGTCAGATGGGAGAGATTGTCGGTGGGATCACTGCTTTCTGCCAAAGAAATAGGCTTAGATAACAGTCACCATAGGAGAACAGGAGATTCTCATTCTGGATAATTTGAGTAACTCTCTCTTGTATCCATCACTGATTCCCATATCAGAGTCACTCATACATTGTTTTCCAGTCTGTAGAATACTGAAAATATTATACATGATTTAAAGGTGGTGTAGTTTGGAATACCAGTTGCTGGTGGAGGGGTAAACAAAAGAGCCAGGTTCTTGTCCTCCGCCCTGCTTGTGGGTTTCCCCAGAGGCATCTGGGTAGCTCTGTGGGAAACAGGATGCTGAACTAGAAGGACCTTCAGTCTGATCCAGCAGAGCTTTTCTGATGCTGGTGACCCGCTTGTTTTCCCATCATTCTGCAAAACGTTCTGTTTTTATTTGCCACTCTGACACATGCTGTGTTTCCAGCTCAACTTATTATTTGCCTTCCCTAATTAGCTGCCAAGAATCAAGGCTATTTTTATCATTGGTCCAGAAATACATCCTTTGCTGTAGGAATCTGGAAGCTCTTTCAGAAATTCCAGTGCCTTGCATCTTTTTAAAAAACTAAACATTTTGTTTTCAGAAGAACAAAGAATGAACGTTGTTGACTCCTGTTGGAATGATTCGGTGTGATTCCAAACAACTGGGCTTACTGTTTCTACTTTGTGCTTCAATCGCCTGCACCCAGTCAATTGAGCGGTGGGAGAAAAAGAGTGTGTGTGTGGGGGGGCGATGTCACAAAAACTGTGACATTACTTCTGGGTGGTCACCTGGTAGTGATGTCACAGCCCCTGCCCTGCAACACTCTAGGAACTTCCCCAGTCTCTTGTGTTCTACCAGATGGCAATGATGTCTCAGTGTCCATGACACACCCCCTCCCCAAGCTCCGCCGCCCAAAATTTCCCAGGTTCTTCAGCTGCAGGGCTGGCAAGCCTACAATAAACCCTTACACTAGACAGGAGTAAATAGACCACATTATGTGTATATAGTATCTGGGTGAGAGTGGATTAACTTTTAATTATTATCAATGTTTTCTTTAAAAAACTGAGTTTCCCCAAAACATGTGCAAATGGAAGTCAATGGGCTTACAAGGGGACAACTCCATTTAGGATTACGTTGGGGTGTCCAACCTCCAGGCAGTGGTTGGAGAGCTCCCACTACTACAACTGATCTTCAGGCAACAGAGATCAGTTGACCTGGAGAAAACGGCTGCTTTGCAAGGTGGACTTTATGGCACTATACCCCACTGAAGTCCCTCCCTTCCCCAAATGCCACCCTCCTCAGGCTCCACCCCCAAAATCTCCAGGTATTTTTCAACATGGAGTTGGCAACCCTAGATTACCCTGTAAAAGAACTCTGGCTTAGGAAATTCCTAGAGAGTTGGGAGGGAGCCAGGCCAGTAGCTATGGGGGGGCATATGAGGGCAATGTCCTCACAAATATGCCCAGCCCCCACAGTAGGGGAGGGAGACGGCAGGAGGGGAGGGAGACGGGACGCCTCACTGGGTCTTCCTGTTTCTGGCTGTGGCCGAGCAGGAGGGGAGAGAGGGGCGCAGTCTCGCCAGGTCTTCCCATTCCTGGCTGCGGATGCAGGAAGGCCTGGTGAGGCCACGCAGTGATCCTGGCCAAACAGGTGGGGAGGGAGAGGTGCAGCCTCTGTATGGCCTTGCTGGGTGTTCCTGCTGTGGGAACAGGAAGACCCGGCAAGGCTGCATGATGGTCACCCATCTCCCTCCCCTCCTATGGGAGTCTGAGGGGTGGGGCAACTTGTGAGCTGCCAGTGGCAACGTTAAGTTCACCCCCACCCCCACCAGCAGGTCCAATTCCCCCCCACACCCCAAAAAAGAAGGATTTCTGGCTACAGGGCTGGAGGAAACTCAGCAGGGATGTGATACCACACAGGACAAAGAGATCTCTCTAGTCTAGAGGTCATGGAGACTGGGGGACTCCAGGCCCCACCTTGATATTTTGGCGATTTTTAGAAAGGACTGGCATCACTTCTAGCTCTCCCCGGAAGTGACATCACACCATCAGCCCGATGGCCATTTTTAAACTCTTTCACCCACTGCCACTGGAGTGGTGGATGGAAATAGGAGCTGGGGTGGGGATCCCCCACCCCCACTGGGAGGCTGACAACCCTGATGCCAGTGCAAGGCAACATAGCTATATCTCCTGCCTCTCTTTGCAGACTCCCTGAGATTAGGGCCGTAGCCGAGGGTGGGGCATCAGGGGCAATGCCCCCTCCCCAATCTGCAATGCCCCCGCCCTCGCCCTATCCTGGTAGCCATCCCCTCCAGGGACTCCCTCTGCCTGAGATTAACAGCAGGATGGTAAGGCAAGGTCTCTCAGCAGAGGACAGGATTACTCAGTTTCTCCACCTGTTGGCTCTTTCTTAACTACAATCAGGGCTATTTTGGGGCAGGAACGCACAGGAACGGAGTTCCGGCTGGCTCCCAAGTTGGCCACGCCCAGCAGGAACTCATTAGCATAATAGGCCACACCCAACAGCAGAAACTCATTAGGATTGGCTACATTAGGGGTGTGTGGCCTAACATGCAAAGGAGTTCCTGCTACAAAAAAAGGCCCTGGGTTTTGACAACAAACAAGGTAAACAGAATAAGAAGCAAAAGGTGGGTGTGGCTGGATGACCACACTTCTGGTAACACAGGTGTGTGGCCTAATATGTGAATGAGCTGTGCTATCAGGGGTATGGCTAATATGCTAATGAGTTTCTGCTGTTGGGTGTGGCCTATTATGCTAATGAGATCCTGTTGGGCTTTTTCTACAAAAAGAGCCCTGACTACAATACACTTTTGGTGTTCAGTTTCTGTTTCTCACCCCTGGCTACCTTGGTCTGTTGCCAATTGTCTATACACTGTGCCAGCCAGTTCCTACTTCTGGCTCTTCCTGTCACACCACTGTCATGTTATGTCACTTCCTGTCACATGCTTGCAACTCAGTGGTTTCCATGCTGCCCCTTGGGAGTTAAAGGTTCATCTGAGATCTGGAAAGATTGAAAAGCACTGGTCTGCAAAGTCAGTCCTACAGGACATGCACGAAAATCTCTCATTATATTTTTTCCCCCGCACTGCATAGAAAGAAGTGTAATGGTTTTGTATTAGAGAATTTTTTAGGAAATATTTTATTTGGAATTTCTTCAATGGATGTCTGGCACTGTTTATATTTTAGCTCTCTTGGTAACAGACCTGAAACTACTCCCAGGTTTCTTTACAGTGCTGAAACACACCTCCCTTTCTGACCATTTTTATTTTGGCATTCTGTGTGAAAATGTTAGGTAGTTAATTTTAATTTCCCTGTTTTGTCCTCGCTCTCAATCAGCTTCACTTGCCCTCGGTGATGTCTTCACATACCCAAATCTGACTAGCTAGCTGGGTTTGTGGCATCGTCCTAATCACTGCGTGATTCCTGACTGGGTAATATCACCAACGTGACTAATTCCAGAAACACTTCAGTTTTCCAAGCTGACACCACATATAGGCCCAGGGCAGCTCCTGGAGTGCTCTGCTGAGGCAGCCAGGCCCAGGCCTGGAGACTCTCCTGGCGCCTGCTGCCTCTGCGGCTGGGCAAGGAGCTGTTCCCAGCATCCACCACCTGAGTGCTCTGCTGCAGCACCCAGGTTCAGGGCAGTTGATGGAGTGCTTTGTTGCAGCGCCCAAGCTCAGCACAGCTCACAGTGTGCTCTGTCATGGCGCCTGGGTCCGAGGCAGCTCCTGGAGTGCTCCATCAAGGCAGCCAAGTCCAGAGCAGCTCCTAGAGTGCTCTGCAGCAGCGCCCAGGCCTGGAGCCTCTCCTGACAGCTGCTGTCTCTGTGGCCGGGCAAGGAGTTGCTCCTGGCATCTACCACCACACTGCCACCAGGCAAGGAACCAATCCCTTCATCCATTGTGGCTGACCTGAAGTAGTTCCCCGTGCCACCACCAGTTGAACCAAAAAGTGCGTTCTCTGCACTTGCACAGGGAATGCTACTTTACTTTGGGG